GAACTCGCTCCCAGCGCTGTTTTGAATTGATTCCGTAAAAACTCTACAAGAACAAAAGTCGATTTTTATCAGCAAGTCATCCCCGTGGAACAGAAACCATGGAACAGAACCATGGAACAGAACCATGGAACAGAACCATGGAACAGAACCATGGAACAGAACCATGGAACAGAACCATGGAACAGAACCATGGAACAGAACCATGGAACAGAACCATGGAACAGAACCATGCAACAGAGCAAGACTATCAGACATCAAACTCCTGATCCCTACTTTCCATAGCGCTGTATTCTTTCGGCGCGTCTGATTGATTCGATACTCCAAGGTTTTCCTTTCGGCTTTTTTCACGCGCTTTTTTCTCGACGTTTCCTTTGGATGGAAAATTTCCCCCCGCCGTGAATTCAACCAAAGTTCAGTCTCATGTGGATCATCGAAAACAGGCTTTCTGAAGAAAGGATTCCACACAATGACTTGTAGGAAGACGTTCTAGAGCCATCTATGCATGGACCCTCATCCACAGAGACACAACTCTTGGAAAACACTGAGTGATAACTCCCTTACCCCCGATTTCCCAACAACATGCCGCAATTTATGAGCATCGAGAAACATTAATGGAGCAGAATAATCGCATCCGGGATGGTCGCATCGAATGTGATCTTCATCGACATGTTGTTTGTATCGATCTGGATGGGAAAATGTTTTATCACAAACATTACAATTGATGGTTGAGTCGTTTCCTCTAAAACAAAGAAATGAAGATATTGATTCAAATTTAAAGATTGACTATATTCAGATCTCAAGAGTGATTCAGATCTCAATAATGATCTGCGGCTGTCGCTTTTCATCTCAGTGAAGCCGGTTAAAAAAAAGATGTATCGGATATGGAAATAACAGATTTCAGTGTACCTTTGCCGTTTCCTCGGCGCCGAATTGAAATCATTGAAATTGCCACGAGCGATTTGTTTGTGGCTCGCTAGGAGGAAATCCTGGAGGCGGGGGCGGAATGGAAGGAAGAGACTTATGTGAGAAGAACGTTGGAGCAGAATTTGAGTGAGGAATAGGAGGAGGGGGTGGAATACAATGGTGGGAGGAATGGGAATGCTGGGAGGGATCCGACGGTTGATAGGGATGATTTGTGGATTGGTGAGAGATTCCATAGGGACCACTGGAGCGCTGGTGCTGACTACCATGGGAGGGTTGGTGCTGAGTACCATGGGAGGGTTGGTGCTGATTACTATGGGAGGGCTGATGTTGGATGGGAATACTGAAGGATTGCTGTTGTTGAATCGGAAATGACGTCGGGGAAGATTGATGCGGTCCCCTATGCGATGAGTTGGGAGACTGCCGTGAGACGGATCCTAGTGTGTTGGAAGGTTGGTCCATTCTGGGACATGGATGTTCGTACGGGGATGTTGGATTTGTAATGCGTGAATACGACGGTGGAATACCAAACTGAGGGTGGCAATGGTGGGGTTCCTGGTTTGGACTAGGAGCGGAATAAGGAGATGGATTGAGAGACTGGCAGGGGGAAGAATTTCTGAGTACTGGAGAAAAGTGACCTTCTAGACGCTGCTGATGAGACTCTTGAGGGGACGATTGGCTGAATGGAGAGAAGCGCGCGGGAGACAGTTGTTGGGAATACTGGTCGGTATTGGGATACGGGGAGTGGATTGATTGAGAGTCGATTTCTGAAGGAGGAAAAGGGACGGAGTCTGGTGAAGGAGGAAAACCACGAAAGAAGGAAGAGGGTGTTTGGTTTTGCGTAAAAGACGGCCGGGCTGGAATGTGATAAACGTCTCGATTGTGAGAAATAGGAGGGGGGTTTGGTTGGATTTGCGATGTATAGGAGGGTCCATAGTTCATACGAGGTTGGGAAGAAATCGACTGAAAAGAATTCTCCGCAGTTGGTTGTTGCATCCGTGAAGAATTTCTCCATGGCCTCCGATCTGGTGGATCGAAAGGCACTCCTGACACTAACGAATCCACGCTCATTGAAGAACGATTCAAGTTGTGAGTAGCACCACGAAGCACTGTAGAGCTATTCCTTTCTCCAGTATACTCTTCGTTGCGAATACAACCCTCTTCCTCGTCCGAATCGATCACATCCGTAACAATCTGAGAATTTCCTGGGCCTGCGTGCTGAAGGCCAAAACAGGGCTGATGGTACATCGCCAAATAAATGACAAAAATAACCTGGTTTCTGGGACTGTTCCAGGACAATGAGATGAAAAGTACAACGCAGTGGACTAGGCTCCTGTCTTGTCCATGCCATCTTGCCACGCAACTGTGCTAATTTGTTAATTGTGTCTGTGTCAAGCTTATTGAATACTTGTGAACAAACAAAAATCGATTGATAATCATATGAATAATTTGAGCCATATCCAACACTTTGCTCAGCAACAAAAACCCCCACTCCCATCCGCAGCAATTCCTGGTGGTGCAATGGTGGGCAGAGGAAAGGAGTGTGCAAAGAAGGTTTTTATAACGTCAAAGGGAACTTACGTCGCAACAGTACCAGAAGATCTATTGGGGAAGGGGACCTATGGCGTTGTGTACCGGGTTCGAAACGAAAAAGATCCTCGAGACCTTAGAGCCGTCAAAACGTTCACACCAGAAACAATGGATGAGAACGAAGGAATCCCACCCACAACGCTGCGTGAAATTAATGCTTTGAAGGTATTGCGACATCCAAATGTCTTGAAGGCCGACGAGATCGTTTTGCCTCAAGGGCAACAAGCACTGACAGAGATGTTCGTTGTAATGGAGCTGTGCAAAGGAACGCTGAAGGACAAAGTGTGTGACATGATACTGCGCTACCTGAAATCAGATCCAAAATATTATAACTTTCCGCCTGGTAAATGCCCCCCAGGCCTTCGACTTCCAGCTGCATATGTCAAAGAGGCTAAATTGTTAGCTTACCAATTGCTCAATGCTTTGGCGTATATTCATTCTCGTGGAATTATTCATCGGGATCTTAAACCAGTAAACATCATGTGGGGCTTCGACGACTTGCTTAAATTCGGAGACTTTGGATTGGCAAGATTCATGCGAGGAAATCAGAATTCCAAGGACAACGTGCTGCCTATCACGGGAGAAGTTCAAACAATGTGGTATCGCGCCCCAGAAGTTCTCCTGGGGGATGAAGTTTATGGTGCTCAAGTGGATGACTGGAGCATTGGCTGCGTTATAGCTGAGCTGTTTCGTTTTCGAAGAAGCAGCTCCACCAATCGAGTTGAGCCGGAACCGTTGTTCAATGGTCGCAGTGATCCTGAGACCCTTCTCATGATTTTCGAGACTCTTGGTCGACCTGATGTCAAGTCCGATCCTGGGAAAGAATACTTGGGGAAGTGAGCCAAGGAGTTTTCCAGTAGCATTCCTCATCCCTTTCTGGTTCTCATAGACTCCCGTATTGGAGCTCCGAATTTCCGAAATGGGACAAGGGAACATTGCGAAAGAGGGTGCCTTTGATTGATGACGATGGTCTCGATCTTATTTCGCATCTGTTAAGGGTCTCTCCATGCGAGAGATTTGTCGCAAAGCATCTCCTTGATCACATTTGGTTCAGTGATGTACGCGAAGAGATCAAGAAAAAGTTTCAGCCATGGTGTGTTGGACTTGAACGAGGATATGAAGTGATGGCAGCGATTGACCGTCTTCCGAATGCACAACCACTTGTCGAGATTGAACGGAAGGAGCATGAGACAGGTAGACACGCCACAACGACAGCCTTGCAGGGAAAGCCGCAATCTGATCGTCAACATCCAGGCAACGCATCAATGGTGGTAACGCGAAGTGCTTCGAATCGAGAGGTACCCGATGCGTCAACAACCCAAGGAGTCCCACCAGGCAATCATGGTTATGGGTCTTTCAGTAAACAAAATGGTGAAGCAACTGGGCAACTAGAAACTCGGACAGCTGGTAAACCCATCCCGGTAGCATCATCACGCCAAGGGGGGCAAGTTTTGAATAGATCGAATTCGAAACCTTTAGATCAAAAAACAGAAAAAAATAACATTCAGACGAGTAATGGGTGTAATAGCTATAAGAATAACAAAGCACCATCAAGCGTTTCAAACGCAACAAGAGAACAAAAGCAAATAAGAAATCAGGAATTCCGCAACGACGATAGAGGTGTTCCATCTCAGCATTCACATTCTTCAAATGAGCAAAAATCAACAGGTGATGTTGCTTCTTCAGTAACAAAATTCAGCGGATTTGATCGACCACATAGAGCCCCCACCCAGTCGGATGGAACTCAACCAGTACGTCAAGAATCATTTGAGAACTTCAAACCAAGTTCGTCAGTCTCCGGGACCTCGTCTTTTCAGAACAACTATTCTTCTCACAACACCAGAACTCAAGCGCAACCTGACCAAGTTCCCGCAAAGCCTCCGTCGGTCGTTTCGTCTGCCACCACGTCAGTATTTCCCGCTAATAGAAAAGTTCCGCCCAATCCTGCGTCTGCCACCAGTGCAGCCGAACAGAGGAGAAGCCGGGGAGTTCCCAGGGCGAAGCGGGCTGCGGGAGCAACTACCCGAAGTCGTCGTATGGCTGGCGAGGTTCAAGGTCGAAATCCGTTTGGATCGAGTGCTCCAATCCCAGCGGGCACTAGTGGGACCGCAAAGGGGTTTCAGAAATCCTCTTTGGCGGCTGCCCCATCTGTTGGATGGTCCTCTCGCAGCCGAAGCCCTGACCGAGGGGGAGGAGCTGTATGTCGCCGCGATTATCAGAAGTTGCCTGCAAATCAATCACAGCTGTTCCCGTACATTAGAGTCCATCAACAGCTTCCAGATGAGCAAAAACAAGATCTCAATGCGACCACTTCAGAGACGACAGTTGCTGCAAACCGCCGACAGCAGCCATCCCGTGCGAAACAGAATTGAATGGTGCTCAATGCTTTCTCTTTTCTTCCCTAGATTCTTCAGTGTAGTATGTGATTAATTTTTCTATTTTGTCTGTGTGTGTATCGCAAATGTTGTTTTATACGAGGCGGGCATTGTCTCAACAAACCGCATGCAATGCTTTTTAAGACTTTTCTGGACCGCTTCACAGTTTTTGAGTAACTTGAGCTCCTGCTATCATGACGGGTGCAACACTGCAACAAGATCTTGATGAAACGGCAATCCCGGAGCCTACAAAGGATACTTTTGGCGTGCCACATCGCCCCCAAGACATTCCACCCATCAGTGATCAAAAGACCTACACTTTCCCTGTTGTTCAAAACAAGACGACACCGTCTTCAATTGTGCCTTCAATGTCCACTCCAACCATGATTGGGGGCCACGTCGTGACGTCGTCCAGAGTTATCAGTTCGACAACAGGGGGCAGCAATCTGCAATCTATCGCCAGTCAGTATAAGTCAGGAAGCGTGATTGGCCAAAGTAGCGATTTTACGACATCCCTTCCTCAACGAAGAATGACCGGAGTCTACTCGAATCCGAGCGGTCGATCACTCTCGGGTCAGTTCGCAGCGAGTTCAAGCACTCTTGGAAAGTCGGGTGAGTACCGACATCCTTTCTTAGTGTTTCTACAATTCGCTCTTCCAGCTTTGACAGAACGCTACATCACAGGACAAACAGCAATGACGAGCAGAACAATCACGGGACAACAGACAGTTATCAGCACACGAGAGTATGTTGATGAGTCGAGAGCACAAGTTGTTTCTGAACGGATTGACGTCACTGAAGTCCGTATTCCAAAAAAGATTGTTCGTGAGGAAATAATTGAAAAAGTGATTGTCGTGCCAGAGAGACTTCTACGGGAGGAAGTCGTTGAGGAGGTTGTTCAAGGTATGAGATTGACGTAAAAGGCCTTGCGTTAGCATGCAGAGAATTATGCAGTCATCTACCCGAATGATTACCTTCTTCGCTAGTCCGTCAAAAAGTGATTGAAGTGACCAAACCAATCATTCAAGAAGTCACTGTTGAAGTTCCTGAAATTGAATATATTGAGAAAATTGTTGATGACGTCCAAATTATACTTCAAGGTGATTCTTTCTTGTGTAACATCAATTTTGATCTACTGATTTTAGAAAAGGTGAAAGAGGTCCCAAAAGTTCAAATTCAGGAACGAATTATTGAGGTTTGTATGTTGTTCTCTACAGTTTCCTAGAAAGATAGGAATGGGGTTGGAGAAGAATCCGTTAGTAGCTACGATTTGTCGACATGTAGAAGTATCCTACTCACGTGGAGGTATTATCGCTAGGTGCATAAGAAGTAGAGGTTGACGCTATAAAAAAAAACTTTGGCAGCCCAAAAGAAAGACCGAGAGGCTAGATCCTACTCTAGTCGAGGGATCTTACTCTAGTCCAGGGATCCTACTACAATTGAGGGACCCATGTTAATATTTGTAATTTGGGAAGCAATTCGTTGTTTCAGATTCCCAAGATTATAACTCAAGAGAAAATCGTTGAGGTGAGCACATCTTGTTTGGAGTGATCAAGGATTTTCTTTCCAGGTTCCAGAAATCGAATATCGGGATGTTCCATACGAAACGGTTGTCGAGGTACCAGAAGTACAAGAGCAAGTCGTACTGAAACAGATATCGGTTCCTCAATATGTGGATAAACCGTATCCAGAATACCAAAACGTTGAAGTTGAAGTAGATGTCGACCGAAGTATTCCCATTCCAGTCGAAGCTATCACAACTGTGGAGTTTAAATTCCCAAAGGTGAATCAACACTTCAATAATATGTCGATATGTCAATAATATTTCGTTGGCCGTTTCTAATTGGGATACTTATTCAGTCCATTTGTTCTCAAGCGTGTTCCTACAATTCTTCTCCGATATCTCTCGCGTTGTCGCAGATCCGACCACGCTACAAAGCTGTCGAAGTTCCTCTTTACGTTCCGCGTTTCGTTGAGATTGCAGTTCCAATTGAGATGATGGATGAACAAATGGTCGCCAACGCAGAATTGTATTCACAGCAAGTCAGTTTCCTAGCGAGCCAATCTGCTGCAAGTTTATGTGAACTTGAGAAGCTTGGAGGAAACCTCAAAAATAGCGACATCAGCACATTCGTGAGTTCTAAAATGCATCGCTGTATTTGTTGAGCGTGTCTGATTCTACAGCTTGGAGCCTTTAAAACCACACAACAAATGGCTGGCTTCTTCGAAGGCGCTTGGTCGTCGGGCCGCCTTTCAGTTGGCAGCACAAGCCATTTGACCGTCACCGCAACAAGATGCAACGCTGTGGTGGTATCCAATACTCCACCAAGCAGTGCTGCAGAGGTATCAGATGCTGCGGTGGTATCAGGTGCTGCGGTGATATCAGATGCTGAATCATCAAGCAATGATGTGGGAGAAGCGGATGGCGTTCCGATGAAATCTTCAGAACCAACTGTCTCCAACTTCGATGGAGCTGCTGCACCAGGGGAGGGGCCTTCGATGAAGGAAGAGTTGGTTGCGCTTAGAAGGGCGTCTGTTCAAGACGAAGCACCGCCAGATCAAGAGTCGGATGACACACCTATTTCCCCTTAAGCGTATTTTAGAAAATTGCTTGATGAGTTTGCTATCTGAAATTCTTGTTTGAACTATTTCAATTCAAGGCTTTCAAACTTCGTTTTTAAAAAGTTTGTCTTTTTTGCTTTTTTGCACTTGTTTTTTCTCCATGTATGGCGAACACGCGGGTCTAAAGAACAGAAGGACTGATGATGCCAACGCCTTCCCTGAAAGCTCTTCACTGCTTCCAAGCAAAACGATTCAAAGCATGGATTCCGATGATCTCCGATGTCAAGAGAAAGAGGGCGGAAGAGAGAATGTCCGATTTTGACAAAATGAAAACAGAACGATTGAAATTTGAAAAGAGAGTGAAATCATATGTTGCTAAGACTCTTGATGAGAAAAGTTCATCAACAATAACAACAAAACTACAAGCGGGGAAGGACTCTTCATCAACGCTTGAACAGATTCAAGATCTGGATAAATGTTTGATTTTCGAACCCCAAGTTCTTAAGACCCTCACTGTGAAATCCCCGCCTGGAAGTCAAACTCCCTCAAGCGCTTCCACTCAGCCGTCGAGCGCTTCCACTCAGCCGTCAACAAGCCCATTCACGGCGATGCGTCTGCTTTCTATTTTGGCAAGTCCTTCACTCCAAAACGTGGATGCCCAAGTTGCTGTAAGTATTCACCTCGGTGTGGACTTGAAACGCAACTCGATGCGGGGACTTCTCACTTTCCCACATTCAACGGGAAGTAAAGTTCGTCTTCTGGTTTTTTGTCCGGATTCAATGGCAGCAGAAATGCTTGACGCAGGGGCAGACTACGCTGGAGATCATTTGATCATGGAAAAAGTTTGTCAAGGGTCGATCTCAGTAGACAAATGTATTACGACGAATGAGTTTATGCCAAACATGCTTAAAATGGCTCGGATTTTGGGTCCTAAAGGTCTCATGCCAAACAAACGGGCGGGTACTATTGTTTCCAATTTGGTTGTACGTTTTTGATAAATGACAGGAAACATGAAATTATTGATATCATGTACATGAAAGAATACATGAAATTATTGATAATGATAATAGAGTATCAATTTAGAGTGTATCTTGATTTCTTCTTTTCATCGAAGGACGCAATTCAAGAAATGAAATCGGGGGCCATGGTTGAATTTCGCGCTGAGACTTTCGAAGGATGTCCGGAGGATCAAGCACGTGTTAAACTACCGATTGGGTCGTTGGAGCTCGGACCTGAGGCGTTACTTGCGAACTTGAAAACGCTTTGTGTGCAGGTTTGAGTCTTCTTCGTTTCTGTTTCTCCTTTGTGAATTTCGCTGTCTCATCATTTTCGTTCTTTTGTTGTCTTCAGATCAACCGAAATAGATTGGAGTTGATGGCGAGTATGCCAGTGACGAAGAGCGTCGGAGCACAAAAATGGCCTCCCTTCAAGAGACCCCTCCCATCCCATTATCTCAATTCTCCAGATATAAGAAGTAAACGAGTCACGTCTCATTATCATCTAATGGTTCTTCTTCTAGTGCTCGTCAGTCCCGTCCGGGATAGTTCTGCTTCCAGAGATGATAACTCAGCACAATCACAGAAAGACAATTTGTTTCAACATGGTTCCCTCTTTTTCGAAAACTCTCCTTCAATCGCAATCCCACTTAATGGATCCGCCCTTAATCCCAGCAGTACTGGATTCACCACTGATTGGGACTTTCAGTAAGAAACGAGAGTGCATCTGTGTATCTGTGTTCATCCGTGTTTCCGTCACGAGTCAAATGACTTGACTATATATATATATATATATTAATTTCACTACCAAGAATCGCTGTGTTCATCTGTGTATACGTTCATCTATGTTGAGTCTCACTGAGGTGAGAAGTATCAGAATTGCTCTCTACAGATGAAAGGATGATGAAAACGATGAACACACACAATTGGGACGTTCAGTTGGGACACTCACAGTTGGGACTTTCTAGTCCTGCTGAGGAACGGAATGTTTTCCCCTCACAGGGAGACGGATGGTGATGGGTCGTTCCTCTGCGCGACACCAGCACGGAACAGTGGAAGAAGGCGTCAAATCTGTGCGATGATAACTGGGTGAGGGATTTTGGGACATTAACAACTGAACCTGGGCCATCGATGCCACGACTGCAGTCTCTACAAGGAGGATGATTTTGGAAGAATCACTCAGTAGAGCGGCGACACTCACCTACTCTCATAATTCGTGGACCCATATGACAAATTTTGAACCCAAGGGATTGCAATTGATCAATCTCGAAATCAAGAAAACCGCCCTCGGGGCCTAAAGCCAACAAAACTGGGCCTGAGAGCAAAAATGAAATGAAGAAATGATTTGAAAATGTTGTACCGTGATGATTCGAAATTCCAACAGATGGGTGATCGAGAGCAAAAGAATCCGTAGAGGGGTGGAGGGCGATGAGGGAATGA